AACCCTTATGACTCACTGACATTTTTTATGTAAACATTTTTTTCTGATAGTTTAGCAACTTCTAGTCGGACGTGTCGTTAGGAAAAACACAATTTTATTAATTTTCCCAAAAACTAGAACGTAGTACAGGTAATATGAAAGGTAGATAGTAGGTAATTTTTCCACCTTTCAATTTCAATATCAGAGATTTTTCAAATTTGATTGTATAGCCTTGTGTGTGACCTGTTTAATCTATATGGTTATTAGAAATATACTCGCTCTCTCTATGCTGATAATTAAGGCCATTTAATATCCTCATGTACGGTCGATTCAAATCTTGTTTTCAACGAATTGGCGATTTCACAATTCAGTGAGATCTCTAGAAGAAAAATATTACTATGGTGTGAATGTGAAATTGGAAATGGTTGCATTCTTTTCAAATAAGGTTTATGTTTGCGAGTTTTTATGTTGTTTTGTTTATAGTCCGTTTGGTATAGTTCGCGGTTATAGGCTAATTATTCAATATTAAAGGAAAAACTTACTGATTTTAAATCCACAAGTGCACGGAACACCATTCTTTTAGATACGAATTTAAGATTTTCTTAACTTTATTAACCATCGCTAACTTCATACAATTCACCTTCTCTAGCGATACGTTGAAAATTTTATTTTTGTCATCTAATTCTTTATCCGCAACAACTTTGATCATCAATTGAGTATAATTTGAGTTAATATTTCCTTATTACGTGAATTTTACTCGGCTCAGAACGCAGAAATCATACACCAGGGCAACAGTCCATTACGCTAATCCTTTTCGCACGATTTCTGTTTATAGAGTAAATCACGCGATGATTTTGTTGACCTGAGAGTACAGTTAAGTCTTGCGCTAAACATCTGCCGGAAGGCGGCCATATTTTTACGAAAAAATAAAATTATTGTTACGCAACATCAAACTTGAACAACGAAATCCAAAGCTTCGGACCAAAACGGGCTTAATAGAGTGTTATAATTTATTTACTAAAAAAAAACAATGATATAATTTAAATTTAAAATGCTGTTAAGTAAGAGGGTCCGGTTACGCTGGTTGAATTGTTATTCAAGAAGTGAAACTTGCTGCAGCGCCGCCGACATTTTGCGCTCAACGTAAACGCGAATTGTAAATAAACTTCATACATTATTGTGATGTATGTTTTGTTTCTGTTGGATATTAGTTTAATTTGGTTCATATTGGCAAATTGATTCATTGCCAAATTTCTTTATTGCTTTAATGCTGCATATATTTCATTTGTAAGTTAAACAAAATCTAGAAATAAGTTGGATAATTGTTATTTTCGAGCCCTCTCATTTTACGTACTATTCCCATATATAATCTATACAGGGTGTTTTAAAACAAAAAAGTTGGTTGTGCAAAAATCCTTACGTCGCAGGCATGATAGTCTATATGTTATATGTCTATTCATACAAGATGTCGTCTGTAGGTAGACTGAACTTGTGGACTTGGATATTTTGCTGTAAAAAAATATTCAACATAGTTTTCGAATATAATAAACTTATTTTATTAGTAGGTAAATATTTTATGTCTTTATTTTGCAGGTTTTTAAAGAAATTAGGACAATATTTACACAGAATCGAAAAGGTAAAAGCCAGTACCATTAGACATTTTAAAATAATTATGCCTACTCAAAACACTAAAAAATCCTAATCACACCATCAAATAACTTATAAAGTACAGCAGGAATTTTAATAATTAATTGTTTCACTTGAACTCTAAACAAATTCAGAGGCTTGCTCAAAATGTAAGTTTGTAGTTTTTATTGGTTTATAATGATCACTCTTTTATTGTCTCGTGGGACATTCTAGTAGTTTAGAAGAATCTGAGCACTTAGTCTTTTCTGGAAGCTTCAAAGTACTTTTATATCACGGGAAAATTTCTTGAGATGAAAAATACCTGTCCTTTTTTAATTGTATATTTATATATTTAAAGCTTATTATGTGTCAAACAGTTCAAAAGCTTATTCAAAATAAGTAAAAAAAAAAGCCAAAATGTTAATGGCGTACATCTATTTGACAACACTGTCCATTAGGGTACCTTTATGGAGTTCACAATTTTGATCTAGCTGTCATTATAAATAAAGTATTAAAATTTCAGCAAAAGGGGAAAAAATGTTTATCATATTCTAAAAACTCGTTTTTTTTTAATATTTAACACCATATTTCTTAGATTTAATATTTTCAACCCTCCGTTTGCATCAACTTTTTTTTATTTTCTTTGGATGACGACTCTAAAGTCGAGTGTTAATTGATACATCCTGTATATTAATTTGTGTTCTGGTATACTTAATTTACTCATATAAAAAAATGTGTTTATTTGTTTTTCCGGCTTAGCGTTCGTGTTGCTAACAAATATTTGCTCGCGTGATATTCATAGCAAAGTTTTCTTCGGTTTCTGTTTAAGCGAATGGAAAATTAATAAACCCATAAACATCTTCCACAATAAACCGCAATTATTGTCATTTCAAAATTGATATGAACTTGAAATAATTTTATTTCTTACCCGCGCTTTCTCCCAATTATAATATCAAAAAGTGAGAAAGGAGACCCAAATCGCTGGTATTAGCGTGCGTGTTCTATGAGATTTTAAATGTCCGTCGTGAATCTTCCAAAGAGGATATAACAATTAGAAAATATTTAACCTTAAACTCTTATTTGAGTCGACAATTACGATGGAAGGCAGTTTTCACCGCATTTCACGTCGCAATTCTTTTCCGAGTTTAAATCAGCTTTCAGGTCATCTTATTTTTAACAACATTTCATATTTTCGTTGCTTTTCAAAGCTCCCAGTAGTTTCAATTAATTGCTTCGTAAGGATGATTTGAATATCCTATTATGTTTTGAAGAGTAACAAGTGTAGTTCCTATACTTGGATGTTGAAAAGAATTGGAGATAATCTGGCTTGTTCCGGTGATATCGAAGATAATTGAATATACCTTGCAAGTTTCAGACCAGACCAAGTGCTCAGAACTGTCTAACGTGACAGAGTAGAGGACTCCTTTAAGTTTGTTTAGAGTTAAGGTGAAACAATTAATTATGAAAATACCTTTTGCAGTTTATGAGTACGAAGAGTAGGAAGAGGAACCGATTAGTAATGTACTTTTGCTTACTTTTTAGTTTCTGTGAAAATATTGTACTAGTTTCTTTCAAAATCTGCAGAACTAAAGCAGAAAATGTTTATTATATGGTACATTATCTTGGACGTTTTATTTATAACAAATAGAGACCACTATAGATAAAAAATCCAAATCGACATGTTTGATATTTGAACATTTATTCAGTTTACCTCGAGATGGCATATACTCTGACTGGGTTTCCTTTTATGCTTTCTGACAACAGACCCAGCAACGCAGAAATGAAGCCTACCTTAATAAAAACGAAACTATGTCCAAGATACTTAACGTTCTGCTACAGTTTCCTTTATTTATCTACTTAAATAGAATTTTTGCGGTCTTCTCCATATTTGTGTGGTTGTCAAGTTTTCAGACTATGGCCGTTATGTTTTCTCTCTAAAAGATGATAAACAACTGATAGCAAAAATAAATGCAAATTTTACTATACTATTCATAGCTAAAACAAGTTATATTCTGTTTCATAACACCTAACAAAGAAAACCGACTACCTCTCAATATAAAAGCAGCTCTAGAGAGTGGATAGTAAATCACAAAGTTCATTGGATTTATAGTGGATCAGAATTTAGATTGGAAAACCACTGCGACCATTTATCGTCAAAAATAAAATATTCGTGATTTGTTTCACTTAATATTATAACAGAATAACCTATTAATACGTAACATCTGCGACAGAAGATGTCTTCAAAAGCCAGAAGAGAGCCAAGAGGATGATCGGCCTGAGACAGAATGAGACATGTTGACTTTGACCCGTATTCTTATTTTCAAACTTAGTTTACTCATTTTCAGAAATAAACACCGTTTAATATTTATTGGTGAAACAAGTAATGATAATACCGGCAATGTAGAGCCCGCTATAATCGTTTATACCGTGGACAGAAGTCTCCTGACTCAAAAGCAATAAACGTCTTCAACCTAACGATTGCTTGAGGGTGGTAGGCAATCATTTAGGAGAAATACTAAGATATACGTTGAACTTCCATTATCTTTATTTAATTTTATTGTTTTTTTACCACAACTCTGTGTTACATACGATCATAAATTCTATCAACGTTATGTCTAACAAAAATAAAAGTAATTCCATTCTATTTTTTTCTAATTTTTGATATGCTTCTTTTCCATATCGCTCAGATGCACCTGTAATGTGCTATTTATTTAATTTTTACAAATAGAAGTTTTCAAAGAAAAAGCCTTATTTATATATACCACTTTTTTGGTTTCCTCGTTGCAAATTGCAACTCTGTGAATAATTTGCTTGAAATTGTTGATTTTAGTTAAGTTGTCATTTTATTAATATTTAAATAACAAATGCATGGATCCGAATTGTTAATTCCTAGTAGGAAAATTAGACTTCTGGCTATATTCTAAAAGAAATTGAAGAGTTTTTTATATATTGCGGATAAGCACAGACCACAAACCGACATTCAATCAAACCTTCCTTCCTTCTTAACATCTACTTTAACGGATGAAGATCATATAATATAAACTGAGCGGTTATCATGACGAACTCATGTCATATTTAACGTAGATGTTCTATATCAAGGGTAAATTTTTTGTGCCTTTCGCCACTGGGGTCCTAAAAAAAAATGAGACAAGATGTTTTTTAAATTTGTACGAGAAATACTAAAAACGCTATAGGTAATATGATTACAAAACGATTCAATTTTATCGTTCAACTAGGAAGTATGGCATGACGTAATATAATGTCTATAGTTTGCAAAAACTCGTAGTTCACAAATTCCGCTTTGCGAGCTTTCGCAAATAATAATTTCCACATGACCGCAAACATTTAAAAACTACATTTTAAAACGCCGCTAACTTTCGTTCATTTATTTCTAGGTCCAAGAAATCACTGGAACAGAACCAATCGAAAATAGGTAAGTCTCTTTTTTTGGTTTCGTTTTCTGCTGTAGGCCCGCTGTAACCAATTGTAAACGTAAAATATGTTTGCAACTCTGTGAGCGGAAGTTATCGGCAGGTGCAACATTCACCTGCGCAGAAGCCATTCTGGTTTCGCCAACGAAATTTATTCGTGTCAACAAAGAAATGGACTAAAGATGCAGTACTTGCGTATCTGTTATATTCGTTGCCTTGTTCGAGGAAACTGCCCGGCACTCTCGCCAGATATATCTAGCTCCTGGTATACGAACATCAAGAATTTTAAGATTTTCAGAAGTTCAAAAAGGCGCTGGCATTCTAATTTGACTTTGTAATACTCTAACCGACAATGGCTGCTAACAGAACTGGGTTTCCGCCTATTTTTTTGGGACTTTCAGCTGCTTTTCGAACGTCACTGTGAAACAAAGTAAATGGCCGAAGCTATTGCTTTGATATTTTGCAGACCATTATAGAGTTTGGCAGTTATCGGAACTGGGGTCGCCCAGTATTTTAAAAATTTCATAGAAATTTTGTTCACGAGTTTAAAGAAATATTAATTTTGGAAACCATTTGTCCTATCCGAAAAACTTTATAACTAGAAGTAGTAAGAGTCATAATAAAAGAAATAATTGACAAAGAAACTGAAAAATATTTTTTCTGTAGTAAAAATGCTTGTAGCTTCATAAATACCCAACACTTTTAAACCAGTCAAAGTTGCAAAATAAAAATTTGCTTTTTACTTATTCATTGCTGCATATAAAAAACAAACTACCTACCAACCAATAGTAAGAAGATGTCGGCAATAAATTTGGTGTTATTACATCGATAAAATATTAAAATAATGTCCCTAGCAAATCATCGTTAGTAAAAGTAACGGAACATTTTTTTATTAGATAATGGCATGCAATTTATGCTTATTAATGTTACCCATCATCTAATCAATATATGTATTTATAAAACTAATAAATTAATAAAAACATAACGGAGATCTACGCGACATAAAAGGCTATGGACATTTTTCAAAAAAAAAAAAAAGTACAAGCAGATAGTAGAAATTTTAAGGAATTGCTGCGATATATTGCAGTTTGCTGTATAGGGTAATTTACGACATAGGAATGTTTACCATAAAGTTTCGGTGTTATAACTGAGCCACCGAAAACAACCTACGAAATGTAGTCCAATTAAGTCGCCATAAAACGGAATATTGCCTATTAGTTTCAAAGTGGGTTGGGAATTAAATAAAACTAATCGCGCCATTCAAAGTCCTTCGGACACAGCCGATAAGGTAGTGAATAGCATTGCCCAACATCGTCTAAAATTGAACCTAGTTCGACAATCGCAGTTCTATATCGGGAATTGGATTTAATTTTTTTTATTTGGTTTAAAACCAAAGCACCCACATTCAAAGGAAAATGGAAACGTAATTTATAGATCTTTGGATTGGTTTCTGGAAGTTGATAATATTTTGCGAATATAATAAAAATAATATAATTTATTCTCAGTACGTATGGTAATTCTGGGAGAGGTAGGTTATTTTCACTATCTTCAATTTTTTTTTTTAGATGTCATATTCTGAATGTTAATGATAGACTATAAGTACTGGAAATGTCAAATGTCATAACTTGCATAATCTCTAGCGGATTTTTGTCCACATACAAGTCAAGGCAAGAAAGTACAGCACTTTAGTTTAAAAAGTTTAGTAAAAAAATCTAAAATAAGAAACGAAGGCTTATCAACAGACGATCAGAGGACACACTGGATCAAAGAGCATAAAGGCAATAAATATGAGTGATATTTCACAAAAAACATTAAGCTGTTTGTTGTGTTGGTAAATAAACATTCTGCGTTCAATTATCCGCTTGAGTTTTGATTTTATTTAAAAATAATGCTAGGAAAGTAAGGGAATAATATCGAACAGGGTAGTCCTGAAATAGAAAGTCTTTGACATTCTTTTAACGCCGTCGGCGGGAATGTGATAGCGAAACTATCCCACGTTTCCTCATACACGATACACCAATTGATAATTAAAATATTTTCTTAAACGCAGGCCACAAAACGTAAGTAGTTACGCAATAGAAATTCTAATAAAACCGGGCAAAGTAATGAATTTAATTGGACTCGTCGTATACGCTGCTGTTAATTAATACTAATACTAGGTACTATACCTCAATTAAACTAAATGTAAAAGCCGTACTATGCGTCGGTATTTACCCGAAGCCATTATTTAACCGTTTACACAGACTGAGACTCTTCGGCTATTTTCTGGCTTTATGTCGTGTCAAATTAAGGCCATATTTTCCGCGATTCCTCGATTTTTATTTTGCGACGATATTAAAACGCGCATCAGATATTTATCCACTGCTGATATTTATTGTATAGTATATCTCAAAGTATATCATCTTGCCTTTTGACGACAATGATCGAAATAACCAGCCGACGGCGACACCTGAAGGGCGGATTATTATGGACGAACTTTTAAGGTGTTTTGATCATATAAATATTAAATAATATATTATGTTAGTTTAAGTACAATAAAATGAAATTTGTACTAATCGATCACTAAATCTCACATCACACTAAATTAATTACTTTATTTAAAATGGGCTCTGTGTTTTTTTGTATGCAAATTTATAACTATATATATATATATATATATATATATATATATATATATATATATATATATATATATATATATATATATATGCAGGATTCCAGTCGGATGCACGATTTGCAGGATTCCAGTCGGATGCAGGATTCCAGTCGGAGTTCAACGAGCGAACGGATGATATCCCGGAATATAGTGTCATCATATATATATATATATATATATATATATATATATATATATATATATATATATATATATATATATATATATATTCTTTCCTGTACTGATGAATTTGCTTCTTTTTCAAGTAGGTGGATGGTAAACGAGTTATCTGTCACTGCCACTATCTTGTCTCTTGCTTATGAATTGGTTGTTGGGTTTGCCCAGTAATAATAAGTATAAAGATCGTAATTACTTTTTGGCAGAGGGTCTGTCAAAATCCAAGGCGATATACTTTGAAACACACCATATATAGTGCTGGCTTTAACCTTTGACAAAAAAAATGGAGACTTAATTGTCTCTTTTATTATTATGATCGGATTGGTAAAAAAAAACTTGCGCACTTTTCTAATTTGACACATGTACATGAAAGATGAGAGTTATTTCTCAGATTATGCGAAGAATATCTTTTTTACACAAGCCTTTTTTATGTTTTTTTGGTTAGTTAGAAACGCAGTGTTTATAATCAATTTTGTGCGAAGGTAAACAGAGTTTGGTACAAAAATGAACGAAAGTGAATGAATCAATTTTAGAGATTAAATAAAATAAAAAAATAACTTAATACTATATAATAATTTACTTCAAGCAACTAGGCAACAATATTTTATATCATTAAGCAATAGTTAAAAATCGAAAATATTGGTTGACACAACATTAATTATTTTTGAAATAAATGATATGAAACTAAATGTCGATTATCACAGAGTCTTGTTCTTCTGAAACGACACTGTTCCTTAATAATTGGTAGGTACCTTGTTTTTCGTAGGCCATTCAGGAATGTCTTTGAACTACTATATCAATGAATAAACATAAATTAATCAAAACAATTATTTATACTTATCATGAAGTAAAAAACAAATTAAAAAAAAAGGGAAAAAGAGACTAAGTAAAAATCTCTATTTGTCTTAAAATATTATTCATTATTAAATAAACGTAACATAACCCAAAACTTAACAAATAAACAAAACAAAAACACATTGGCGCTGCTGACAGTAAACAAACGTGGACGTAAGGAAAAATGTTTTTCCTGTTATCAGTGTTTGGGTGTATGGGTTGTGGGAAATGGCGCTAGAAAAATATTTTACGATTGAATCCATTTTATCGTATTAAAATTGTAATCTGGAATGTCGGCATTTTTAGATGCAAAATTTTTAAGTTCAATCAGGTCTACTGGCATGGTCCAATTGTGTTGTTTTTGGATTTGGAACCAGTAAGCTTTTTCTTTGATGTTCATGATATTCTGGATGAATAGATGAATGGGGAACGATACATAAAACTCATATTAAAGAAACGGAACCCTTCCAAATTTTACTTCCAAAACAGTTTAACGGTTAATGTGCCGGAGGTTCAAATGAATTGTAATATCGTAACATTTTGCGTCATTTGACAGCATTCAAATACGTCTCAAACGAAAACAGATACAGTTCTGCAACCACACGTCAATGGTTTGGTAATCTTGATATTTCTTACACTTTTTTTTTCGTTTCCTTTGTCGGCAGTTTTGTGTGTTCTTCGCCTCCCCAAAAACATTCCTTTGTTCGAGAGTTTGCTCGTGTTTTACCTCTCCGTGCGAAACTGTACTCTGTTGGCGATTCTGCTTCTGGGCGAACGTAACAGTAAAATCCTTTTAAATCTTTTCCTGTTCTCGAAATGTTCTCACGACTACCTTCGATTTTAAATGCCACGACTGTGCTAATTATAATTTTCCTACGGAGACGAGTTTTTGTTTGGTGAGGCTTTCCTAACTCGTTCGCCTAGATGGTTTTTTGTGGTATTATCCGTTATAGATGAAAATAGAAGTGGCGAAGTATTAACAAACTGCTGGATCCCCAAATGTTTTTGGACTGTTTTCGGAGTTTTTGCAATACTAAAAATTATATTAGGCAAAGGTTCCAGTTTTTTATTTAAGTCTTTCCGTGTGGTACGGTAAATCTTATTTTTGAAAATTTTTGATTTTTGATATATTTATAAATTTGAATTTTGGAAACTCAATCATTTTTCACTCTTTTTGGTGATTTAAAATTAGTGAAAAACGGGTTTCGATATGATTTTCATTGTTATAATGACAAGTCATAATTGACGCAACGTCAGCAAAATTTTTATATACATATATATTTGGATCTTATATACGGATTGATTCTTAGAATTTGTGCGATGCTAGTAGATTTG